ATTTATAGCCCAAACTGATCATAATGATAGGGAGCTTAGAAATTCAGTTAGAGATAATCTGTCTAATACCGTAAATGATAATTATTTTCAGGATATCATTAAGGTGGGGGTATAAAATATATGATACAAAAAGCAAGAGACACTGCGCCGGGCTAGACAGAGTCAGGTTTGTGTAGTTACTGGTGTTCTCTAGACAACAGGATCGTTAAAGCAAATGTCCCAAGTCTCATGATAGATGGTAGAAACATCAACAGAGAGAGCAAACTGAAGTATCTGGGAATTATATTTGACAGGAGCCTGTCCTTTAAGAACCATGTGGTGAGTGCTATGACAAGATGCCAAAAAAGACTTAGTGAACTTAAGACTATGGCTGCAATTGACATAGAACAGAGAATTTTTTCACACTATATCATCACCTGATCCTGTCAGTGGTTGATTATGGCCTAGGACTGCTTACCGTCTCAAAAAGTCAGATGGACTAACTAGAGCGCATACAGAACGCAGCTATGCGGGTAATTCTGGGTTGCACCAGAGACACCCCAGAGGTGTGTATGCGATACATCCTTGGTTTGCCGACTGTTGCAGGTAGGCACAAGATGTTGCAGACGAAGGCATATCTCAGGGTAGCTTTGCACGAAGCTCTGGGTGCAGTTAAGGGTCAGCGGCTGATGAGAGGGAAGTCATGGGTGGATCAGACAGAAGACACAGTCAGACAGGTTTGCATACTTGAGAACATTAGGCGACGAGAGGAGTGGGTCAAAGTGCCACCTGAACAGTCAGACTTGTGTGGGATCATAATCACACTAAGCCGGGAATGCAGAGACTGGCCAGCAGGTGCCACAGAGGTGCAAATTCAGCAATTAATTTAAGATAATGCTCGCTCAGAAGATTTGATAATTTACCCAGATGGTTTATTGTCAAGAGGCAAAATAAGTGCTTGGGATTTCTTAGCAAAAGTTAAAGGTCAATGTTTGGTGCAGGAGAGCCTAGCATATGATACCACAACATCCAGCTTAAGAATGGAGGTGGAGACGGTCACTGCAGCTTTCCGCTGGTTAGAGAACACGACACACACACACACATCGTGATTGTAACTGACTCAGAAAGCATGCTGAGGAAGTTCATGATAGGCATGCTTCGTGCAGAGTGGTATGCCTCCCTGCGGAGGACACGGGTGAGGAGTATTATATGGATGTTTTCACGGGGGAACGCCGGTGTGTTGGGAAACGAACAGGCAGACAGACTGGCTGGCTCTGCACAACTTGGTGGAATACTGTTGAAAGATAAGGCAGACGTGGTAGGTGCCTTGTGGGAGAGCGTGTACAGTTCGGAGGAGACGATGGATCACCACAGTCTGGTGAGACTGATTCAGGGGGGAGGGACGAGAGGTTCTTGCAGATGCTCGGGGCTCAGGGGAAAGGCAAGACAGACGTTTAATCAGAATGCTACTGGCACCATTAGTATCGGAACTCTTCGCTGGCTGGTGAAGATAGGGACAGAGCACTTATGGGAATGCCCGAGTGCTGTGATGTCGGCTCTTGAATCAAATCAAATCAAATGGATACGCAAAAATACCTGGTCAAATGCAGCTGCATACAGATACTTTTGCTGTTGCTGTTTATGAGAGGTTCAGGAGACGATTGCAGCAGTACCTGATCTTGAGGATACCTACAATAGAGTCTGATATTATATTTTGATTTCTGCGCTAATGGAGAAGGGAGTTTGTCCTTGGCTTGTGAAATGGATAGCAACTGTCCTGCATTAACGTACTGCGGCCCTTCACTTGGATACCTGTACATCAGAACCATGTAATATAGCCCCGGGACTACCCCAGGGTTCTGCGATTTCACCAGTGCTCTTTTATGTGTATACAAGCAAGACTGCAGAACTTGAAGCACTAAGTGTTGGAAGAATATTGACATTTGCATGTGATGTTCTTGCGTTTAAGCAGGGGAATGATAGGCAACGGATAGTCTAAGAGCTTCAGTTGACTGTAGACAAAGTGACTGACAGGTATGCAGAAATGGGCGCTGTCATCAACTCAGAAAAGGTGGCTGTTTTGCTGTGCTCTCTGGACAACAGAATTGTAAGAGCTGATGTTCTAAGCCTCACAGTTAATAACAGTAACATCAAAAGAGAAAGCAAACTGAGCTACCTTGATATCAATTTCGATAGAAGCCTATCCTTCAGAGAACATGTAGAGGCCGTTGCGGTGGGAAAAAATGCTCTCAAGATTATGGCAGCAATGGAGATGGAACTAAGAATGCTGTTCACAATGTTCCAGATTGTGATCCTGTCGGTGATAGATTTTGGACTTGGAATGCTTACCACATCAAACAGTCAGCTGATGATACTTGAACGCATACAGAATACTGCCTTACGGGTAATTCTGGGATGTACAAGAGATACACGAAGCCCCGGGGAGAGCCAAGGATCACAGGCTTGATAAATTTTGGCGAAGAGAGGAGTGGATCAAAGTGTCTCAGCCAGTTTCAGACTTGCGTAGGGTTTTAATCCCTTTAGGTCTCGAGTACAGGTAATGCCACCTGGTGCTGCTGAATCAGAAGTTCAACAAACTGATTCATGACAATTTCCGCCCAGGTGATGATGGCTCTATGTTGAGGGGCAGACGAAGTGCATGGCGGTTTATAGCAAAAGCGAATGGACAAAGCCTGGCATGTGATATCACAATGTCTAGTTTCAGAATGGAGATGGAGGCAGTCACTGCTGCCTTCCGCTGGCTGGAGAATCAGCTGAATACACATGCCGTGATTGTAACTGACTCGCGGAGCATGTTAAAAACGTTGGAGATGGGCATGCTCCGTGCAGAGTGGCACGTATCACTACAGAGGTCCTGGGAAGTCAGCATCCTTTAGATATTTTTCCAGGTTATACCTGTGTGTTGGTACATAAGCAGTCAGATAGACTGGCCGGTTCTGTTCAGCTTGGTGAAATTGATGTATGCCAAGCCAGATTTTGTAACGGTCCTTTGGAGCGAGGGAACAGTGCAAAGGCACAGACAGATCATTGCGGTCTGAGGGCAATGGCGCTGTGAGGAGTTACCAAGGGGTATCAGGCCAACGCTCAATACTCAAGGGACAGCGTATACGGATATACAATCAATTACTGGTACCATCGGAATTGTAACTCTTCACTGCTGCTGAAGATCGGGACGGGGCGTATTTGGAAGTGTCCTGAGTGCTCTTATGACGATTCTCAATTTAGCATTACTCGTCTGCTTTCCACAGCAAACCCCTCAGCACTCTTCTTCTTCTTCAGCATTCCGAGCCCTTGAGGTTCATTGCTGCAGATATCACCTACCTCTCTATAGTTGGCCTTCTCTTTACAGTTGGTGACATCAAGTGTTTGCAGGTATGTTTGGACATTATGTCTCCATCCTCTTCTTGGCCTGCCTCGTGGTCTACAGCCATTCATTTCCCCAGTGTATACACTTTGTACTTCTCTGTCATATGACATTCTTTCAATATGACCCAAACATTTCAGTCGATTAGCTCTCGTGATGCCAGTGATCAGTGGTGATTTCAACAGATTATGAATTTCGTTATTTCTTCTCCCTCTCCATTCCTCGCTGTTTGCATCTTTGATGGGACCAAAGATTTGCCGTAAGACGCTGTTTTCGAAAACCTGCAATAAAGCTTTATCTCTTTTAGTTGTCCTGCAAGTTTCAGAGTCATATAAAACGATTGGTCTTATCAACGTTTTATATATTTTGATCTTGGTGTTGCGAATGATGCTGTCATTCCTATGGGACGTGGACGGGTGGGGATGGCGCCGGACTCCCTGCCTCGAAGGTGCCCACCCCAAGCTACTAGAGCAACAACCTCAGAATCTTCTGGAGCGACCAGGGAAGAACAGAGTAATGCAACTGGACACAAACTGACAGTTATGCACTGGAATGCTGAGGGAGTGAGGCTGAAGAAAACTGAACTACAACATTTCTTGAAGCAGCACGATATTGACATATGCTGCATCCAAGAGACTCACCTCACAAGTGCACATAGATTACAGAGTCCTGAGCAAATACTGCAGTACTGCCCTTACCTCTCCCAGCAAAGACTGTGGATCTGGCCCAGGGGATCCACATTGCGAGAGAAGCTATAGGAGACCGGTGGCGACCTTAAACGCACAATCCTATTTTTGACTCAGACGGGACTCAGTGTGTAGCATGACTGATGTCGAACGCAGAAGAAGGTGTTGCGAGACAGACACTTTGATTTTAGCAAATGTTGAAAGGCATAGTATACTTTATTTCCAGATTGTATTCTAGACAGTATTTCTTCTATCAGCATGTTGGAGCAGTTGAAGTTTGCACCTAAGTACGTATATGTTTCCGTTCGTTTGATTTTCATTTTATCGCCATGTATATGGCCGGAGTTTTTATCCTTTCCCTGTCTAGTTATTATTATGTATTCTGTCTTATCTTGATTGATAACTAGTCTTTTTTTCTGAGCTGATTCTTTTAAGAGAGTCAGTGCTTTAACAGTCTGTAGTTCATTTTCTCCAACGATATCGATGCCATCTTCATATCCAAATATCCGTGTAGATTCTCCTATAGTACACTCTTGATTCAATTTCCTTATAATTTTCTCCAGGGCCAAGTTAAAAAGAAGTGGGGACAAAGCATCACTTTGCTTTAAACCAGATGTTATTTGAAAATGGTCTGACTTTCTGCCTTTATATACTACCATATTAATAGTGTCTTCCATACATAGTTTGGTCATGTTAATAAACTTCTTCAGTATTCCGTAAGTCCTTTATAGTTCCATAAGCTGTTTCTATGTAAACTACCTTACAGCATTAATTCGTAATTTTAGACTGTCAGTACCTACGTCACAAATCATTTTGTTGTTGTTGAGTTTTAATTTCATATTGTCAAAACGACTACAAAATAGAAGTACAGAAGGAGCGAGGACCATTCACTTGTCATCAGATTTAGCTGTTGTAGGCAAATACTTAGTGTTTATTAACTATTATTAATAATGGAGAAAGCTGCGAAATCAGACAACACAAGTGTCAGTGATAAAAAGCCAAATAATGTGTCTTCTCATCTTTGGGAGGTAAGTAAGGCAAAGGCTGAGTAAAGTCATTTTGGCACTACTGGCAAATCCGGACGAAGAATAAACAGCCTTGGACGACTTAGTCAGAGTTCTCTCCCGTGGCCGCACTCCAAACAGTGATCGGAAAACAAACGAAACAAACGACACACTTAGCTATCATCCTGCGGTTGCGTGTAGGGCTGCGTACGGTTGAGTGAGTCATCGTGGCATCATCATATGGTTGCGTGCAGGGTTGCGTACGGTTGCGTGAGGCAGTGTGAATGGTTGTGTAGTCATCATCATGCGGTTGTTGGATTAGAGTTAGGGGTAGGGTTAGGGGTAGGATTAGGGTTAGAGTTAGGGTTAGGGGTAGGGTTAGGGTTAGATGTGAAAATTTTGATGTTGGATTTTGAAATACTGGCCGACAATCTGATGTTTGTGGGAGTGGCGCCACTGAAACTCTGCCAAATATGACGCCAATAGCGTGCGGCTGGTGCCCCCCATCGTTGGCGAATTGTGCGTTTTACCAGCATCCAGAGGCCCTCGATTGTTTGTGTGTGTATGGGACTGTGCGCGATTATTGGGTACTCCGGCGTCAAAATTGTCAAATCTAACGCTAAACCTAACCCTACCGCTAACCCTAATCCTAATCCTACTCCCTAACCCTAACCACTAACCACGCAAATTTATCGATCATTAACGCATACAAATCGGCAAACACCAACAAACAAAACACACCCAAAAAAACCCAGATTTGTCCTGCAGCGTCGAAAAAAAACCCAGATCTGGGGGAAAGAACCAAGCATTGGCAGCCCTGATGTCGACGTGACTGTCTTCTTTGTTTCGTTGTGGCTTTTCCGATCACTGTTTGGAGTGCGGCCACGGGAGAGAACTCTGACTAAGTCGTCCAAGGCTGTTTATTCTTCGTCCGGATTTGCCAGTAGAGCCGTCATTTTTTCCTTTCTTTATTAATTTTTTCCACGAAAACGTCGACAGCTGGGATTAGAATTGACACATACAGTCATGAATGAGGTACCTTGGAAAGAGCTTTTCAATATGTATCCACATGTTCTGGTTTTATAAAAAATAATTTGGAAAATTTGACCAAAGCTCTCCTAACTGACTGAATAAACCTACCATTGATTGGCTGGCACTTTTCCGACTTTCCAGACGATAGTGTTATATTGCGCTATGAGGAGTCATGAGACTCACAGCCCATGGCGATGGCGAGTGGACTAGCAAGACCCGCCCGTGTCAAGAAAAGTCTTCCACGATGATTTCAGGACCATTGTTGTCAACATTTGCATTTAATCTGTTTCTTTTCAGACGCTCAGCTATCATCCTTTCTGCAATCATTTCTATCTTCACTCTCATTCCCTTCCTGATATGCCCTTTCCACACAACGCGGTCCATGCCATTTTGTTCCCATGAGTCCACCTCAATAACTGCATCATTCATGTCCCTCTTGCACACATCTTTATAACGTAGTAGAGGTCAGCCTCGACATCTTCTTCCTGCCTTTAATTCACCATAAAAGATGCCCTTAGGGACTCTGCCATCCTCCATTCTCCAGGTGTGACCCAGCCACCTGAGCCTTCGAAAACTGAGCATTGACAAGACTGTTGTATTAGCTGCTCTTTCCAGTACTTCAGTGTTTGTGATTTTATCCTGCCACTTAATGCCAAGTATTCTTCTTAGGCATCGCATGTGAAAGCTATTAAGCCGTCTCTCTTGGTGCAAATAGGTTGACCAGGCTCTTCTTTCACTACCGGACGGTAGCTGGACCGCTTAGGTCGGCTTAGTGAGAGTTCTCTCCCTTAGCCGCATTGCAAACAAGGAGCGGAAAAGTCACGAATCAAATGACATACTTACCTATCATCATACGGTTGCGTGTAGGGTTGCGTACGGTTGTGTGTAGGGTCGCGTAGTCATCATACGGTTGCGTGAAGGGTTGCGTAGTCATCATATGGTTGCATGTAGGGTTACCTATCATCATACGGTTGCGTGTAGGGTTGCGTAGGGTTTGGGTTAGGCTTAGGGTTAGGTGTAGGGTTAGGGTTACGGTTAGGGGTTAGGGTTAGGGTTAGTGTTAGATGTGAAAATTTTGACGTAGACGTTCCAAATACTGGCCGACAATCTGATGCTTGTGGGAGTGGCGCCACTGGATTTCTGGTAAATATGACGGCAATAGCGCGCGGCTGGTGCCCAATCGGTGGCGAATTGTCTGTGTCAGTAGCATCCACAGTCCATCGACTGTTTGAGTGTGTATGTGACTGTGCGCGATTATAGGGAACTCCGGCGTCAAAATTGTCACATCTAACGTTAAACCTAACCCTACCCCTAACCCTACCCCTAGACCCTAACCGTAACCCTAACCCTACCCCTAACCTAACCCGAATCCTACCCCTAACTCTACCCCTAACCACGCAAATTTATCAGTCATTAAATCATACAAATCGGCAAAAAACAAAAAAATAAAACCCCCAGATTTCCCTGCAGCGTCAAAAAAAACCCCCAGATCTGGGGGACACAACCAAGCATTGGCAGCCTGATGTCGACCTCACTGTCTTCTTTGATTCGTGACTTTTCCGCTCCTTGTTTGCAATGCGGCCAAGGGAGAGAACTCCCACTAAGCCGACCTAAGCCGTCCAGCTACCGTCCGGTTGTGAAAGGAGAGCCGGTTGACCAAGTTTCACTGCCATAAACAGAGTGCTGAGAACACTAGCCTGATAGACAATGGTTTTTATTTTAATTGTGAGCTTTCTGTTTTCCTTTATTATCTTTGTCAATCTGCTCATTGTTGTTGCTGCCTTACCTATCCTGATGTTGATTTCTTGGTCCAGATATAGTTTACTATTCACTGTGGAACCCAGATAGGTAAAATGGTCTACTGTCTCAAGCTCTTCACCGTCGGTGTAGACTGTAGGAATGTAATAACCTACCAGTCAGATAATTATTAGATAATGCTTTTTGAACCAATTTTTTAAAGCAATAATTACAATAAAATTAGTCAGATTAAAAAAAAATTTTTTCCATGCTGTTGACTCCTCATTCACAACTCTATTTAAATCCTACAGAGATTTTAATTTTCATAATCTATCAGCAGGCGCAAGATCTTTTGAAATTGTTTCCAGGTTTATATTTCCGCAGTCTTCTCCTGTCTTTTTTGTTGTTGTTGTCCTACTGCTTATGCCGCAAAGCAGCGCAGAGAGGTTTTAGAATATAGTTTCTTGTCTTCTGCTAGTTGCATAGCTTGTGTTCATGAACAGCAGTAACCAGAGCAAAAATGGCACTGCCCTAATCTATTTTTGTTACTGTTAAAATTATATTCTAAACTAATCTAAACCAATCGTTATGATTCGGTGTGTTGGTATGTTTCTTGTTTGATATGTCTAGTTGAAACGATTACTACAGTCTACACAGGGTGGTAAAAGTAACAGTGTGGATTATCATTATCGTTTATGTAACACATTGGTACCTCGGGTCATGAATTTAATTCGTGCTTTGACTCCGTTTACGAACCGAAATGTTTGCACCTTGAAACAAATTTTCTCTTCAATTTTCACCTAAAACTTATTTTGTTAGTGTGTGTATGTTTGTGTGTGTCTGTGCTTTTTAATGGATCGTGGTGTGGCAAAAATAAATAATATAAAATGTACAGGATAACCTTGCCTTTGTAGTTGATAGTTTCTGGCAGAGGTTGATGGTAGAGGAGGAGAATGTAGTTGATAGTTTCTGGCAGAGGTTGATGGTAGAGGAGGAAATTGTAGTTAATAGTGTTCTGGCAGAGGTTAATGGTAGAGGAGGAGAAAGTAGTTGATAGTTTCTGGCAGATGTTAATGGTAGAGGAGGAGAAAGTAGTTGATAGTTTCTGGCAGAGGTTAATGGTAGAGGAGGAGAATGTAGTTGATAGTGTTCTAGCAGAGGTTAATGGTAGAGGAGGAGAAAGTAGTTAATAGTTTCTGGCAGGGGTTGATGGTAGAGGAGGAGAAGGAAGACTGCTACTTTGAGGGAGAGTCCTATTCCATAACAACATCCAGGAAGTGTATAGATATTTCTAGTATTTTTTTTTTCTTGTTTGTTTCCTGAAAAGTTATTAAATTGCTGGCTCAGTGGCTAATGTTTTCACAAGATAACAAACCAGAAGCATTTGTCTTTTTTTATGTTGGATAATTTTCAGAAAATAGGACATCATTTTGTCATTTTAACTGTCCATTGCTCTGCTGATCTAAGTTTTGTTAGGGTGATGCTTCTCAATGAAAACCTTTACTTCACTTCATTTGCAAATGTCTTTGATCTCAGCACTTGAAACATCATCCTCCTCCTCTCCTGAGTGCTCCTCCTGCATAACTTTTTTATCTGTTTACATTGCAACTGTTCACAACAAATAATGATCACAGCACGCAAACATCAGTATAACTGATGCCATTCACAAGCAGAAAACATGGTGCAGAAGCCATATTTGTGCATTCCTGCACTAAGGGTTTCACAGATGGAGTCTAAATTTGTTTGTAAACTGAGTTTATGGGCCAATTTTTTCATGACTAAAGGTGTTCATGGCCCAACGTACCACTAGATTTCATATTTTTGTCTTCAGTTTAGCACACTGAAGCCAGCTTCAGGCCTCAGAAATAATGAAGGTGGTCCAAGTGACAAGAAGGGACAATGTCCGCAATCAAACAAAATAGGTCATGACCTTGAAACTCAGGCTCTAGTGGATCAGTCAAATGGTTTGGACATGTATGCAGAATGGGAGAGAATCGGCCACCACAACAGACGTAGGAGGCCAAGAAACAGGGAAGCAAACCACCAAGACGATCCAGGTTTGCTGGGAAGACAACATTCAACAGTCCTTGCCTGACAGAGGACTCGAATGGGACAAAGCCAAAAAGAAAACTGTTTATAGAGAAGTTGGGCAATCTCTTTGGCACACCTCTACACCCCAAAGTAGAAGAGCAGCGACTGAGTAAGTAAGTCAGTCTTCACATAGACCTGGCTAGTGATGCTGTTTCCCGGATGGTCATGTCTCAGAATATACTTCATCTTTTAAAGAGATATTGTCATCAATTAAAAGGGCAAGTTAGAATACTGCAATTTCGATGTCAATTCAGTACTGAGTGCGTATGTCATAATGAGTCAGTAACTTGGACTAAAATATTGACTAAAACTAATAAACTGCAAATATTATTTGCTTGATGCTATTCAGGCTCTATCAGGACCTAAACCCATGACCTTCCCATCCACAGGTGAGCATCTAGCTGCTACACCATGGCGACTCCCAGTTATTTTATTATGTGATGCCTTTCTAAATAAAAGCTTTTTTTTATATGAAAAAAAAATTTGTTGATGTTAATTATTGTTTACTGATGCTGTGCTTTTTACCTAAGAATTTCTCAGATCACTTCAGATCACTTTTAAATTTTGTATAACTTCATTTTACACTAAATGTTACTACTTACATGAACAGTAATGTTAAATGCATGTCATTGGTTTCCTGTGGTTTTACAATTAAGAAATTCAAGGCCCTTGAAAAGAGAACAAATGAAGTCACACAGAAGTCAACAGAAAAGCGCATCAAACAGCTGCAGCAGAAAGTGATGGACACAGGTATTTTATTGCTAGTAAACACTGGATATTTTTTTTTTAAATTTGTCTTCTTCATCTGAGCTTTTACCAGCTATAAACTCCAGTGGAAAGTTGAGTTCTACGTGCACATCCTTTTACAGTTCTGGTTTATTTGTTTGCAGACTGTTGATTCCTTGCTTTTCAGGCAAATTCTCTCTGCCTTTGAAGGAAACACCCTTAATTTGTTGCCTCCTACGACATTCTTGTGGGTGGAGGGGGGGGGGGGGAGGGGGGGGGGGGGGGGGGGGGGGGGGGAATGAATCTAATCTTTGTTTTCAACAATGGAGCCCCAGAACTCACACAGGGAATTCTCCAGTAATAGGACTAGGTGTGTCGGAGTTTAGACCCGCCTTTTTTGTTTCAGCTGCTTTAAAAAAAAAATCAGACAGAAGCAGAAGAAGATTTTAGACCTAAATATAGCTTGAACCTCAATATCCCATCTGTGAAGTTTGAAGCTTTTTTGTTTTTAGTCACAACCCCATTTTATAGAAACAGAGTGACCTCTAATTCCAATACATTAATAATAGACTTTTTTAATAGGGTAAATAAAAACACAACAGAAATACACTGTCCCTTCTCTTAAAAATGAGCCTAGCGACCGCACTTAAAACTCTTTGTGACCTCATTTAGGGTTAACATTTTGCTAACTCCCTTGCCATACTGTTAGCACTGATTTTAGGAATGTCTTTCAGGTAATTTGTTAATCCTGATACAACAGGAAACATGTGGTAATGTGGTAGCTGTTACACTGGCTACATTTTTGTACAAGTTAATGCTACCTATTTAAGTCTGGGTGGACACGGATGCAATGCTCAATTTAGTTACAATATTTCGTTACACGGTGACTTTCCCATCCTTTGGAGAAGATGATATGATTCGGGGAGGGGGGGGGGGTTATGCCAGACACAGTTAGCTGAGAGAGCTTAACATATTATTTTTAAGTTCTCATTTCTTAACTATTTCTATTTTAATAATTTCACCATGGATGATTTTTCAGTCCTTCGTAGAGGGAGATATGACTTCGCCAGGTGATGATTTTTCAATCTTTGGTAGAGGGAGATATGATTGGGGGAGCGAGGGGGGGGGGGGGATTATGCCAGACACCGTTAACTGAGAGAGCTTAAAATATTATTGTAATGTTCTCATTTCTTAACTATTTCTATTTTAATAATTTTGCCATGGATGATTTTTCAGTCATTCGTAGAGGGAGATATGACTTCGCCAGGTGATGATTTGTCAATCCTATGGAGAGGGAGATATGACTGCGCCGAGGGGAGGGGGGTATGACAGACACTGTTAGCTGAGAGCTATTTTCTTTCCTCTCCATTTCACCATGGTACAGCTAGTACTTTATACGAAGTGAACAAAAGGGCCAGTTCTAGATATCACTTCCTGCTCTGGCACCACAAGGCATTCCAGGTGTAGAGAAAAGAAGAGGAAGCTGTGTGAAATATGAGTGTTTGGAAGGGCTGAATGTAAGACAGGCCTGCATGCTAAATTTGTGACTTTTTGGAAATAAAATTAGTTTGTTTGTTTGTTCATACTTATTAGAAAGAGTCACGTACTTTACTTACTGTCTCCCCAGTATGCTATGTATGGAAATCGGATCCTTTTCTAATTTAAAGTGATATCAGTTGTAATTGCTGTGAAAGCCTATCTGTTCATGCTCTGATTCCTTCTGTACCAGTGTCCAAGGAGTTCACGTCTGCTGAAGACAAGAAGGCTTTGGCAAAATATGATGTTAAACTTGTTCCTGAGACTAGTTTGGACAAAAGTGCAGCTGAAAGTGCAGCTGTTGACAAAAGCAGGTAATTTGTTGATCAGCTAATAAACTACAAATTTGTTTATTTTGGATCCAGTATTTTGTATAAATATTTAAATATCTGCCACAATTAAGCATTTTGTTGATAATAATATCTGCGCAGGAGAGCTCTGGCATTTTGAGTCACAACAAAGTGAAGTGTTATGTGCAGTGACATTGTCTGTTACCACTCTCTGCTTCTGTGTTGTCACATATCAATCCTGTCGCGTGCCTAATGTAAGGATTCCTCCTTCAGAACCAACAGCGCTTAGAGATAATTATGTTGAGTCGTTTGGCTCGTATTGGTCTAAGGGATTCCCCGTGGCCAATATACGATCAACTTATCTCTGGAGTAGGGCAACTCAAGTATTGGCACTACAAAATATGTCAGTATATATATATATAATATTTCTAGGCACACTTGGCTGGACACCCCCACTACTTACTAAAGAAAGCCCCCAGGTTATGATAGTTCATTATCATAACCATGTTAACACATATAATGAAGATACACGTACATACACAACTGCTAAACACTTAAAAAGGTAAAATAGCGACACCTAAGTCAGCCATGAAAATGAATGTATGTAATCAATATAAATTAGATATATTCAAGTGAGACAAATGCCAGATCTCAGGATATCATGTCCAAATCACAAAGATCCTACACAGACAGAAGGTCTTGGAGATGACATCTTCTCATCACTGGACACAAGGAGCTGTGAGGAACACAACATCATGCGAAGCATTAGACTTATCTTCTCTTCTCTCTGTCTATGATGCCTCCCTCAGCTCCGGATGATTCGACTGTCTTTGACTCTGGGAATTCTGCTCCACTGGATCAAGTAGTAAGAGTACTTCACTATATAAGACGTAGCAACTGTACTGGTATCTAGCAAGTCTCTATCACCAGTAAGGACACACAATGTCTTTGAGCCACATTAAGCTCTAGCACTGGTAGCTGTTTGAGGCACAATCTCCCACATTTTGGAGATGTCAGGAACCTTCACAGGTGTTAGCTGGTGGGTAACAAGTTGTTTCTGGTGGTTTGATGGTTGGTGGATGTTGGTGGGACTGTGAATCTTCTGCCAGCTCTTCAGAAAATATACATCCTGTCAAGAAAATAACTCAACATTAGTCATCACCAAGAGGGTAACATCTTGACAGGAAAGACAGAGCAAGCATCAGTCATCAACCCCCATCTGCTGACTCCTCCCTGCTCTCCTGTTTCATTCCTCAGATTGCCTCTCCAGACCAAAAGACATAAGTCTCCTATATTTATCTGTCTGTTTAGTGCAAGAGAAAGCAAGTCAGATATACAGTGGAGATAGATAAAGTGGTCTAACACATATATCACTCTCCCTCTCACTCTGCACACAGACACCAATATTTACTGTCAGTACCTGCATTCACTAGCTTTCCCAACCGCCCCAGCACTCGTTGATCTGGGTCAAGCACACACATACTTTGATTAACAAAGCCCTGACCCAATTCTGTCCCCATTTCGTATGTACAGATTCTGTAAGTAGTTTAAAACGTACACAATTGTAAGGGCATTAAATGTTTATCGGTATGGGTGGTTTATTGAGGGCATAAGCTATTTAGTCTGTACAGTGTAAGATCTACGTTTGAATCCGCTTCTCTAGCGATCAAGAACGGTCGAACTAAGTGAGATCACACAGCCGATATGGATTTCTCTACAGCAGTGACTACTTTACAGACATCATTCTAGGTACTCGTAAACTATAATTAACTTACCCAAGCATATGTAAAAACTGAGACATTTCCAGATTGCCTTGAAAAGTGAAAGTTATACAGGCACAGATTAACACATCTGGACGCTTGAGAAGCTGGCAAGGAGAATAGCGTCACTTCGACACTTCAGGCGTTGGTACAAAAGAAGTCCCTTGTATACTGGGGCAAGGAGTAAATCGGTTTCCAAGAAACCTCAAATAACTCCCTAAATATATCTCCAAGAGATATACATTTAAAAGTGGAGTTTAGTTAAAGTAACCAGAAAAGGAGACATAATAATGTTGTCCAATACAGGCCTATATATATAGATATAAGGGACTATATATTTCTGGGCGAGTCCAAGTTTGAATTTTGTGCAGATTACAGGTAAGACAGGTTATAAGCCTTACAGACCGATGCGTAATGGCTATCATTTCACGACAGTACCCCCCCAAAGGGAAGAGCGTACTACGCGAATGAAAAATGATCAGCCATCTACACATCTATGGACTCACTACTTTCAGCTTGCTCATCACCTTCAGTCTGTGAATTATCAGACAAGGGATGGCGGCTCAAGAAATCTGCTCTGAATCAAAGGGTTGACCAAACCAACCTCTCAGAGACAGATGAAATATATACAATAATGACAATTCATGTGAAAATAGAGAAACCTATGACCACTATACAATACTACTCAACAAGGAATCTATATAGAATCAGTCGATGGCCCTGAAGACCTAAGACTGATGACTCCATCCATGTATCACTGATCCCTGCCAGGTACATGCAAAGATGTAGGTTCAGACCGAACCCCCCGATCGGGTTGGCTGAATAAACCTGATCGACATAAACCTGATCAGTTTCCAAGAAACCTCAAATAACTCCCTAAATATATCTCCAAGAGATATACATTTAAAAGTGGAGTTTAGTTAAAGTAACCAGAAAAGGCAGACATAATAATGTTGTCCAATACAGGCCTATATATATAGATATAAGGGACTATATATTTCTGGGCGAGTCCAAGTTTGAATTTTGTGCAGATTACAGGTAAGACAGGTTATAATCCTTACAGACCGATGCGTAATGGCTATCATTTCACGACATGTGTTTACCCACTTTGTCTCTAGTTAAAAAGCACAGAAGAGCATAACCAACTAGAAAACAGCAGCAGTTTTAAGATCAGTGTAAAAGTATTACCATGCAAGCATGTCTAACTTGTCAACAACTCCTAAGTCAAGGTTCACCCAGCAGTATAAAAATGGATGCCAGAAGTATTTTGTGTGTGGATGTCAAGTGGCTGATGTAATAGAGACCACACCTTTTGAATGCTGTTTGGTTATAACAGAAACAAATATGGGCCCAGTACCCTACCTGCCAAAGCTCTACATTAGCATGTGAATTTAAAACTGTACCGTTATGTTTAATTTAGCTGTGGTAGATTTTAACTCTATCGTTATCAGTTAATTTTAAAAAAAATTTCTATAATGGAAAAATCTTCTTTAAAACTGTCATTGTTTGGGTCTGAATAAGTTCAAATAACACTTGATCAGAAGAAGCTATGGTTATAGTTAGTACATAGTAAGTGTGTGAGTGAGTAAAATTGTGAATGGGCTTGTGTGCATACATTTACTATCCATGCTTTTGTGTTTCTTCATTGATATTCATATTATGCATATTGTTATATGAAAACATCATGCTTTATTAGTAAAATACAATTGCTGTGTGAAATATGAGTGTTTGGAAGGGCCCAGTGTAAGACGGGCCCGCGTGACCAATTTGTTATCCCTTAAAAGTGCCCAATTTGTGATCCCTTGAAAATAAAGTTTGTTTGTTAAGATAATGAGTCCATAGAATTGGCTGTGAAAGAACTAAAAGTACAGTGGAACCTCGCTTAACGAGCATAATTCGTTTCAAAATCCTACTCATTAAGCGAAACACTCGTTATGCGAAACAATTTTTCTCATATAAATTAATGTAAAATACGATAATGCGTTCCATGTCGAAAAAAAAATTACTCACAAAATGCTATGTAAAACATTTATTTAAAAAAATTATATACATATTGTTGAGAGTGAATCATCTTCATCTTTTCTTCAAACGCGGAACGAACCCACCTGGAATGCACATTCGATTTGCAGGGGGAAAGGGGTGGGACGACAAAATAATTATGAAACAAAGCTAATTATTTTTTTACTAGAAAGATGTCCAGAGACATTTATTTTTGCGAAAAAGCAACACAGCATTATCATTAAATAAATTTGCAGTGCCCATTGCCACTTCCTCATTAGTGTGATGCTTCTCAATGTAAGATGCAACAGTTTTCCATGCTTTCAGAATTTCTTTTTTTTTTCGCCAGAAGATTATTGTTTTTTTTTGTTACCTCCTCCTCCTCTGACAAACTTTCCCCCAAAACTTCTTGCTGTAAAACACAATGCAACTCCATAAGCTCTTGGGTGGTCAGCTCTTGTCTGTGCTCTTCCACAAGCTCTTCCACTGTTATCCACCTACAATCCCATGATAGTGGCCAAAGACACAATTTCCTTAACTACAGGTTCCACAGGTACTGTCTCGAACCCCTCAAAGTCACAAATCGACAACGCTCTCCTTCCAAAGCTTCTTCCAAGCAGAATTTAGGGTTCTCTGGGTAACCTCTTTTCCTGCCTTGTCGATCATCTTGAGGCAGGCAACGATGTGGAAGGGATTTTCCAGAAAACTCTTTGAGAGTGAGGTTGGTCCCTTCATTCACCTAAAAACAATGCTGGAAGAGTGCTTTAGTGTAGAGCTTCTTGAAGTTAGAAATAACTTGCTGGTCCATGGGCTAGAGTAACGGAGTGGTGTTGAGAGGCAGAAACTGAATCTTGATGAACTTAAATTTTTCAGGGAGGTCATCTTGTAGGCCTGAAGGATTCATGTAAATATATCACAATATAACACAAGTTTGAGAAAATGTGTGATCACAAGCGACATTACGATGCTACTGGAATGAGTGCTAAACACAGAATGATGTAACATGCGCACAATCCGGGACTTTCCCTTTCTTTGCTATTCGTCATGCGAAACGTCACTCGTTAAGCAAGTCATTCTTTTAAAATTTGTTTTGCTCGTTAAGCGAAGTTTTACTGTAGTAGATTTTATTGGGACTGAATGAACATATAGTGAGAAGGTCTCCGTGTTGAAGTGGTAAAGCCGTTAACCTCCCGCTCTGAAGGTCATGGGTTTGTTTCATGGCGGCACTTTTCATTTCTCAAGTGCAATTTTTAATGGAGATTCCTGGGGATCATCACTGAGGCAATGGAGGTCGTGCTCTGTCATACTCTTGGCAGGCAGCTAGCTGTTCTGCAGAGAAAGACTGAGCCGTATGGGGTTAAACCTGGTGCAGTGATGTCAGTCATCTCACCTTTACCTTTTACCTTTACCTTTATAGTGAGGACTTAGTCCCAGTATATGATGTTAATTTTTTTTTTACTCAATTTTATAGAAATACATTTCTGCAGGTTTTTTTTTCTTTTCTGGTACAAAGTACCGGCATCTTTTACTCGGCATAATACTTTCAGCACTACTGTCATAGACACTTTGTGGTGAGTACCAGCACCTTGTTTAAGCACTTTGTGCTGAGAACCGACACCTGTTTTTTCCAAAAGAAGAACAAAGCCCTGCATTTCCATTTTACAACACTGATTCATGTTTTGTTTTACATTGAATTTCTTTTGGGTAAATATAAAATGTATTCTTGCCACTTCTTCAAGTGCCAAATCTAACAAGCATGACTCTCCAATCCTTTCAGGTGTCTGATATTTTGATGAAGGTGATGTTTATTTTTATATTATTTCTTGCCTAGATGTTTATGCTTCCTGCAAATATCTTTGTGTTTCTTTTTCTTCTTTAATCATCTACAGTATTTTCTCTTTGGTATGCAGTGTCTGTGGATGCACCCTATAAATTTAATACTTCCAGTTTTTTAAAAATCTGTCTTGATATATATTAACTTATTTCTTCCGAAGCTGTCACAAATAATTTTGTTTTGTCTGTGTATGTCAGAAAGAAAGAGAGAGAAGGTGATGAAGGATGTAGGGGAAAAGGCACTGCACATAACATTCATAATGAGTGTTCTTGTTAATAATTGCAGCTCTTCGGTGTGCATTTTCTTTTCTTTCCACTAAATTCTCAGTATTCTCAAAGATCACGTCTTTGCCGTCTGCAGTTGCTTCACCGTTTTCTGACTCATTCATTGTTCAGCATTTGTTTTTAACATAAGAACAGGTGACACCCAGCAAGTCTTATCACAAGAAACACAATATAACATTAAAAAGAAAAATTGTGGAAAGTCTTATATTGTATCTGTGGATTTTTCAGCCTTCCTGATTTATTAGTTATTGTTTTAAAATGTAAGTACACATTTGATGCAGAAGTAGAAGCATTTTTTTTTTCTTATTTCTGATATAGAGCAGCTGCCTCAAACACAAGTGCTGTGGATCATCTGAAAGATTTTCTAAACATAAATGAGCATCTTCAAGAGAGAGACTTCTCTCGTCCACCACCTCCTACCGCATTAGAAAATCGTATCAATGAAGCCATCAAGACTGGAGATTTTGAGACTGCAGAGTCTCTTAGTGATCATTTAGCCACCAGAGAGGTATTTATTGAGTACATATTTCTGTTTAACAGAGTACTGCTCTTCTGAGCCAGCAGATTCTGTGGCATGCTTTGTTCAGACATAGTAGTGTAATCTTTCCTTTGGAGTAAACACAGCAAGTGGAGAGAAGGATCATGTTGCAGAAGCAGCACATGGTCTTTACAATACTGCCTCAGTTTTGTGCCATCGAGAGGAGGAACTTCATATCTGGCCTTAATTGATCTTAAAGGCTACACTTGCTTCACCTATGGGCTGCATTTCCCAGCCATTGCCTTACCAACAAGCATGTTGTAGGAGGCGACTAATTGTTTGCTTCCTTCAAAGTCAGAGTGCATCTACCTGAGAGGCAAGAACCAAGCGTCTGCATACAAATATGCAAGATCTGTCAAACAGATGCATATGCAAAAATCAGGTCCTGGAACAAAGCCGAAGTCCGAAAATAACGAATAACCAGGTTTTCCTGGCGGGATTTACAGCCGGTGAACATCAACAAACAAACAAACAAACATAACACTATTGTCTGGAAACACAGAAAAGTGCCAACCAACCAGCCACTTTTGGTTAAGTTTCCTTTTACTTTTACTGAGCATATTCTGTCTTATTTATATTATCTTTGGACATTTTATTTCATCTCTATTTTGTTTGACTACCTCATCACTGTAACGATTACTGCTACAGCTGCAATATGTGAAATGACATTTCTCTCGTAAATAATCAATATCCACATTTGAGAGGCAGATATGGGTTAGTTGCGTATCCTTTATAGGATGTTGCAGAACCAACCCCAACAGCCCCTGGCTGTTGTGTGGTTTTTCTAGGCAACAGTCTGTATTCAAGAGAATGAGATCTGTAAAACTGATGCACACGCAACACTCAGGTTCTGGAGCAGGACTGCAGTTCAGTAGTGGACGAGCAACCAGAACTTTCCGCCAGAGTATACAGCTGGTGAACGCGAAGAAGAAGAAGAAGAATATATTTCATGCCTTGAAGTTTGTGTGGTCTGATTCATTGTCTCATACAATCATCATTGCCTTGGGGTCAGGCCTGTATTCATTTTGTTTAATGATGCTACTTGTCCAGACAGTAAAGGCATTTATTTATTACTCTTTTTACCTTGTGCTGTCAGATGTCTTTGTTTTTATGTTTATATTTTCTGACAAAATGCCAACAAGAAAATGAATGTAGACCAATATTTGCTAATTAGTTTTTCAGGCTTTTGTCTGAAACGAAAATCTGCTTCATTTATTTTTCTGTCAGTCCTTGTATTCTTTGCGTTTTACCTGAAAACCCTAGCTCTTATGCTTCAGGTGCCCCAGCTGGATTTTTTTTTTAAAAATCTCAAGGAGGCTTTAGAATTGATTCAGAATGGATTGTTTTTCTTTGTTATGAGAGATGTTAAGCAGTTCATAATGTTTTAAACTGTTTTTCACATACTCTAGCCACATGTCTAATGTATACTTGATTGGTATGATTTTTATTTTCAACAATCAGTTTTTATCAATCTTTTTATAGACCATCATCAAATTTTGTAGACTGTTCAGTTTGTAAATTTTTGATGTTATATAGCTTTTGGCTGCTGTACAATTATCCACTAGCTATTCTTCTTGTACCTGTTAATATAATTTTATGATTTCTCTTTCAGTTTCTTCATACCTCTTGTGAAGTTGTTTTTGCTGATGATTTCTACTTGAACATATAATTTGTTATGCATTTTCCTCAGTCTAACCTCTCTAGTTTGGCGATAATGTCTTCATAGACTTTTTTGAACTGTTTATTACTACCCATTGAGCAGTGACATCTTAAGATACAATTTCAACCTATTCTTTATTTCAGTGTTGAATATTTTTCTGTTATCTTTTTTTTCCTTCTTTATTATATATTTGTCAATGTGCGAGCGAGAGAGAGAGAGAGAGAGAGAGAAGTAGGGGGGATTTGACCAGCAAAACAGTCAGACCATGAAACAGCTTTGAAAAAATGTAGATAGTTGTCACAAATTTGCAATTTCTAGCTCCCATGACATTTGCTGCTGATAAGAGATGAGAAAATGTATGCAAAGTGTAGTGCTAAAATCACGTAGCTGCAACGTGGTTAGGCAGAAATTGTTGGCAGACTACCTGGACCAGGAGATTTCTGTGAACCACACCAGTTGAAGAACACTGCTTCAGAACACTTTAGCTGCTTTTAGCCGCAAATCCAGCTCATTGTGAACAAATCAGCCAAAAGCTCTGTGTGAGTTGGTTGAGGACCTTTATACTCCACTGCATTAGTCAGGCATAGCTTTGACAACTTTACACGTGTTTTATTGAAGGATTATGATTCAGATGTTGTTTTTTTCTATTCTTTTTTGAGCAGATGAGTGAAAAGATTGTATCAGCAATAGAAGCTAAAAGATTTATGGAACAACAAGAGGTATATAACAGTTTATTTGTTGTTGTTTGTGATTGTGATAATGGCAGTTTGAAACATTTAAGTTACTCAGTTTTGTTATGTTGTTAGTTTTTTTGGGTATGGGTTTTAGGGCCCCATTGGGGGAGGGGGGGGGGGGTGAATTTACGACAACAATAAGGCGTGACTGACTTGAGCGAAGCTTGCAGGTCCTGCATGGACTTAGTTGAGCTGTCGGACAGTGGCAAAAACCCATGGGGAAGATTGGACAACGTCAGTCAGCAGTTAGACATTGGACGTGAGACAGAAGACAGTTGTTAGAGTGATAGATCAGAATTCTAGCGTTTTGTAGTTATATTCTAGTGACTGTTAATGTGTTTCATTAGGGTATCATAGTTCCTCTGTGTTAATGTGTTTCGTTAGGATATCATAGTTCCTCTGTGTTAATGTGTTTCGTTAGGATATCATAGTTCCTCTGTGTTAATGTGTTTCGTTAGGATATCATAGTTCCTCTGTGTTAATGTGTTTCATTAGGATATCATAGTTCCTCTGTGTTAATGTGTTTCTTTAGGATATCATAGTTCCTCTGTGTTAATGTGTTTCTTTAGGATATCATAGTTCCTCTGTGTTAATGTGTTTCGTTAGGATATCATAGTTCCTCTGTGTTAATGTGTTTCGTTAGGATATCATAGTTCCTCTGTGTTAATGTGTTTCTTTAGGATATCATAGTTCCTCTGTGTTAATGTGTTTCGTTAGGATATCATAGTTAATCTGTGTTAATGTGTTTCGTTAGGATATCATAGTTCCTCTGTGTTAATGTGTTTCGTTAGGATATCATAGTTCCTCTGTGTTAATGTGTTTCGTTAGGATATCATAGTTCCTCTGTGTTATTGTAACATATGACAGTGACAGTGTTCTGTATAATGTGTCAGGTCAGGTAAGTAGTGTTGAGGTATTTGAATAGCCAGGGCTGGTTTTGGACTGGCTGTTGTGATATTGTCTATCCTTGAACACTGTCCCCCACACTTTGCAGTCACTGCATGATCCTGGTGAAGTCCAGTGACATAAGAAAAGAGCTTATCAGGAACAGTATTATCCATGGGGATGGGAAGGCGTGCATGGTTATTTGTAAAGCCATCACGGCCTGCGATCGGGTAAGGGTACCCACATCTTCGGACGTCAACTGTCTCATGTTAGTCTGTGTCTTACATTAAAGATTGGTGCGTGCGCTCTGTGGGTGTTCGGTTTAGTGTCTTTTTGTGTGGATAGACTGTCTGTCATTGGTCCATACAACGAGCCACGTACCATCAAGGCAGATCAGAAGTCTGTTTCAACAAGGTAATTTTTATAATTTATTCATATGGTTTGAGAAATGAACATTATGAGAACATTCATTTTGTATAATTGATTCATATATTGTGAGAAGTAAATATCACAAAAACATGTCACAGTAAAGGATAAGCTAAACAGATCAACCAGGTCAGGTGTCACTGATGATGACGAGCAGTCAGACTTGACAAAATAACGAGCAGTCAGACTTGACAAAATGACAAGCAGTCAGACTTGAAAAAATGACAAGCAGTCAAACTTGAAAAAATGACAAGCAGTCAAACTTGAAAAAAAAGTACATGGAAAACAGATGGTTGTGGAAGAACTGATTAATTAGTACCTGTTTGTTACTAGTCTCTCCCCTCCCCCTCCCCCCCCCCCCCCCCCCCCCCCCACCTTTTTTGTTTAATTTTTTAACCAATGATTTGCTGTTTATTGCTTTTATCCTATCTTTAGGTCAATGTATCTTCAGCCAAAATCAAGAGAAAGCGGAAACTAAACTGGGGGTAAAAGTTTTGTTTATTTGTGTGTTTGACACTCTTAGCGTACTGTTTTTGTTATGTACAGGAGTTATTTTCTTTTTTTTTTCCTTCTATGTTTGCAAGCTGTGAGCTCTGGCAGAAAGTCGTGGTTGATTATTCATGTCTGGAATTTGATCTTGTTCCAGAATTTTAATGCTGCATGCACATCTGTTTTACACATCAGGCTTATGTGTGTGTGCAGGCTGTTCATTCCACGCACCTTGGGCTCCAGCTTTAAAAGATACCTGGGTGGTGTTTATGTTGACGAGACTCCAGTTTGACCAGTTTGAGCCCTGGTCCACGAGGGGGGATGGTTCACCACTGCAGCCTACAAGAATCAGTTACCACGAGCTGCCTTTCTGTGTAAGGAGCCAGTTTTTCTTTAAGAAGATGAAAGACCTCGTCTTTCTGTGTAAGAAGCCAGTTTTTCTTTGAGAAGGAGAAAGACCCTGCCACTCTGTGTAAGGAGCCAGTTTTTCTTTGAGAAGGAGAAAGACCCCGTCTTTCTGTGTAAGAAGCCAGTTTTTTCTTTGAGAAGGAGAAAGACCCTGTCTTTCTGTGTAAGAAGCCAGTTTTTCTTTGAGAAGGAGAAAGACCCTGCCACTCTGTGTAAGAAGCCAGTTTTTCTTTGAGAAGGAGAAAGACCCTGCCACTCTGTAAGGAGCCAGTTTTTCTTTGAGAAGGAGAAAGACCCTGCCACTCTGTGTAAGGAGCCAGTTTTTTCTTTGAGAAGGAGAAAGACCCTGCCACTCTGTGTAAGAAGCCAGTTTTTCTTTGAGAAGGAGAAAGACCCTGCCACTCTGTGTAAGGAGCCAGTTTTTCTTTGAGAAGGAGAAAGATTCAGCCCCCCCCCCCCCCCCCCTCTTTGAGCAGGCTGTATTTTCATAGCTAATACATGTGGCTGTCAAGGTATTTTTTTAAATTGCCGTTTTTGTCTGTATTGTTGAATTTGATCCATGAGAAACAAAATGTTGCATGGGTAAATGATGAGTCTCGGATATCTTTTTTGCAGATTTGAACCAAAACATCGCTGGGAGACAAAAGGCAACATGTGATCATTGTCATTGAGGATTTGTGATAGATATTTTATTCCTTTTTTTTCAGTATTAACATTTATAGAAAAAAATAATAAAATGTTAATGTGCATTTTTATATGTTTTTGTTTGTTTGTTGGATTATCACCATCACATCAGTCATAACTATATTATTATTATTATTAAGATCATAGTAATCATCACTGTCATCATTTACATCACATTTCATCATCACTTCAGCAGTTTCATTTCCACCATACTTGTTGATTTGTGATGTAAGCAACATTAAAAAAGCTTGAAAATCAAACAAACAGCAAATAATTTTAACAAATAAAAACTTCAACAACAACAAAAAAAGTACCTTTTTAAAAAAAAAAAAAAAATTAATGAGTACTTATGCTAAGGGACTTTAATTCTTTTAATATCAAACTGTTATTAAAACTGATTCTACCCGAGTGACTTTTCTTGAAACCAAGGCTTTTCTTTCTGGTGATACAAAACAGTAGATAGCACCAGTACCATTTTTTTCCAGGTTACTCTGATAGACACTGTGTGGTGAGCACCGCCAGTTTTCTAGACACCATATTGGTGAGTTCTGGCACCTTTTGTCTTAAAAAAAAAAGTCTTGCTTAAAACTAATATGTTGTTGAACTTCCAAAATAATCATATTGGGCTTATTATGAGTTAGAGTAGGGGGTAGAGTGGATTACTGTAAAGACTAACTGGGACATTAGGATTTAAACCAACAGATCATGTAAAGAGTTCCTAATTACAATAATATTGCTCTTTGCATAAGTCTTGACTCATATCAGATCTTTTCTCCCTCTGTTCCAGAGTAAAGTTAGTACGAACAGATATATCTAGATATATCGACGAAACACAGCTATGACATAATTACTCTTACTGCTGTGTAGCAAAGGTGTCGTACAGTCATTGTTCTAGGTTCTCATGCATCATTTTAAGACTTACTCACGTCTGACAGACACAACAGGGATACAACTTGACTAGAGATTCAGTTACTTTTCAGTCCGTATGATCCATTTACACTGGTTTCTTACATCTGAATCACAGAACAACAAATATTCACAGTAAATCGACGTTACAATTCAGAGTCACTTCTCTTCAGCCTTGATCTATGAGTTCTAGGTCCTCACTCGCTCCATCAGCAATCACAGTTCATATCAGTCACTCCACTCAATCAACCTGCCTCTCATACTGTCAAACACCAGCCGACTCTATCTCCTTTCTTACCTTCAAACCTTTTTTCTCATTCCATGGGTTTTTCTAGCAATCGTTCACTCAAACACAGGAAATCCCAAACGTACCTTTTTCATGCTTCCCCCGCATAACTGACCCTTAACCCTACTTGTCATACAGGGAAACCGTCTGGGATTTTTGAGAATTCACACTTATTACACTAATAAATGCAGGCTGGATGGCTTGGTAATGAATTAGTTAAAGAGAACAATGATAATAGAAAAACCAAAACATCAAGCAGATGGACAGTTAACAGCTACAGTATATATGCTGGCGCATTGTGGTCTGTAAAGTCTGGCGAAAAGTTCTGGTTGTTCATCCACCTCTGGACTCCAGCCTAGTCTTGCTCCAGAACCTGAGTGTTGCATGCACATTTGTTTTACGGATCTGACTTATTTGTATGCGGACTGTTGGTTCCTTGCCTCTTGGGCAGCTGCAGTCTGACTTTGAAGGAAGCCTCCTATTTGTAGACTCTTACAACATGCTTGTTGGGGAGGGAGTGGCTCTGTCCTTGTTTTTGCCGCAATGGGGCTCTGAACCCGGCAGACATATATATAGTTCATGTTCATTGAGACACACACACACATTCTTCTCTTCTTCTTCACTTCCTCTTTTACCGCTGTGGGTGTCGAGGAAGATATAAGGTTCTGTTTCTAGCTCTTCTGGTTGCCCCGACCATAGGCACATCGTGCTGTTGTAGAGTTTCTCTGATGTTATCCTTCCATCTTGTTCTTGGTCTACCCCGTGCTCTATGTCCTTCTTCTCTTTCCATGTATGCTTTGTATGGTATGATGGATGAGATGTTTCCTGATTTATTCTAACTACAGTTCTACAATCCCTGTATAAACTTTTGCACACTTCGATGAGGTGTTCGCTTACTCCATATCTTGCCATTATTTTCCATAATAATTGTCTGTCGACTCTGTCAAATGCCTTCTCCTGGTCTACGAATGCCACAAATAAGTTCTTATTGTATTCAATGTTCTTTTCTATTAACTGTTTAAGTGTGAAGATTGCATCTGTGCAGCTTCTATTTCTCCTAAATCCCATCTGTTCTTCTGCCAGCTGTGGTTCTATCACTGGTCTCAGTCTTGTTTCTATTATCTTGGCATACATTTTGCCAACATGGCTTAAAAGAGAGATGTCTCGATATTGACCGCATTCTCGTTTGCTTCCTTTTTTCTTCCACAATGGTATAACTATTGCATGTTGCCAATCAATAGGGGCCGTTTGTTGTACCCATGCTGCATCGAATATACACACACATACACATACCAAATTGAAATACTTGAGTTCGAGTCTGTCTTGTACAAATTATGCATAACAATTTTTCTGTTGTATGCTTGTGCAAAACAGTCACAATATATTTAAACAAACAATCATACAGTTATGTAGACATAATCTTTCTCATCTTTGAGCAGCTTCTGGTAATACTGCAGGAAATATTCACCTGAAACACTAGCCATCCATCCTGTAAGAGCTGATGACAATGATCTTCTTTCAATATATTTGATTTATCTTTGGTCTCTGTAAAGTACAAGCGCAGCATTGCATGTTAAAGTGAGTTGTGTATCTGTTGCAGAACCAACCCAGGATTTTTTTGGCTGTCTGCAATTTCACTAGGCAGTTTTACATTTGCTAGTTTGCCATAGTTTGCTGAATGGTTGAACCTCTCTACCACTTGAAACCAATGCAAGATAGTCTGTGGCCACGTTACCTACAGCTTGGACTGAACCCAGCACCTCAGAATTACAAAGTGCATTCACAACCCCCAAAATGGACAATTGTGGTGTTAAGTGAGTATCAAGCATCAGCATCATAATGAGAACTTGTGGACATACTGTCCAGGACATACAGGAGTGAGAGGCAGTAAATGAACAAATTTCCCGGCTACAAAGTGACAGTGGTAGGAACACTCATAATGGATAAGCAGACACTCTGAAGATGAAATATCCACCAGTTCAGATGAAAGGTACAATGTTACATAAAATAACATACAGTTTTGTGTAAATTTGGAATTAAATGAGGACTCAGCAAGAAAGGACTATGAAAGGATGACTCTTTCGCACAAAACAATATGATGTGTGTCTAAAGTCTTTCTGTTTTCCTCTGACCATGTAACGTGTACTCTTGCTAGGCACATTTTATCAGAGGCTTTGCATATTTAGTCAAAGCAAATTTAAGAAATCTGGCTACACTCAGTGGTCACTTCCACTTTTTAAATAGCATCATTAAAAGTAAAAAGACCCTGTTTCACACTTTCAGGTGTATCGGGCATATAGGGCTAGACATATATTGTATAGACCAACCGGCACTTGATGTATGATGTCATCAGCATCGTGCGGACCATCTTTACTCCCCAGGACTTTTACCTGGCGCCCATTTTAGGCTAGGTCGACCTGAAGTCAAAGGTCATCTAAAAAAAAGTTCAGCACTGTCCGGATTTGAACCCACGACCTTCGGATCCACAGGCAAGCATCATTAAGAGTATTCTGTTTATTTTAATCATATTCCATGTGTGTGTTCCGGGGCACCAATTTGTTGTGTGGGAAAAAGAATAGACCCACTGCCTTCCTAAGAAGTCTGTCATAAAAAGTAACTTATAAAGGGTATTTCCTTTGAAGTCAGAATCCAATAGAAGAAAGGATTTGTCTTTATTATACTCCATAATGGTTTTTAACTCAATGTGAACAAGTGTGTAAACAGTACTAATAGTGAAGGAGGTAATGTAGTGCTGACTTGATAAGGAGAACTCACCGAGGACCCAAGAAATGGTTCTTCTTATCAGAAATTCCACTTATCCAGATAAGATTTCAAGCAAGAAAAATTGCCAGGAATAAACAAATTGTTCTTCATAACAGAAATTTGCCACATGTGAGATCACCTTGAGCGGTTTGCACTGTACTAGTATATTCCACTCAAATGTAGCAATATCAGTGATGCTGAGTGCAAACAAATAAAGAATGTATATAAAGGGTCCTAGAAAAAATAAACACGCATTGAATTAATGTCCAGAACAATGTAAACCCACTGTGACATATATAATCAATACAATCATTTTCTTTACATTAATACACTTAAACAAAAACAGTTGTCTTGAAGGTGGAACTGAATTTAAGGGATTCCTCATGTGAGTTCTGTAGCCCCATTGTGGGGGGGTGGGGAGCAGTATAGACCCACTGCCTACCCAGCAAGCATGTCGTAAGTGTTGATTAAGTGGGGGCTTCTGAAGTCGCAGTGCATCAGCCTGAGAGGCAAGGAACTAACAATTTGCATACAGTCAAGTTATATATGTTAAACAGATGTGCAGGCAACACTCATGATAGGGAACAAGACTAAAGTTCAGAGGTGGACAAACAACCAGAACTTTCCACCAGAGTTTACAGCCAGTGAATACAAAGAAGAAGAAGAAGCAGGAGAAGAATTTAAGAAATGGCAGAAAGCAAAACTAAGATTTAAGAAAAGAAAATAAACCTTAAAGTGGTACTAGTGTCCTCACCGAGGTCCCATTAAGTCTCTGTTGGCAGCACACAGCTGAAGATGTTGGAGCACATGCTCAGAATGTTCTGGTGCCAAATTGCAGGAACACGTCTCTTTGTTGACACCGAAAAGTTTGAATATATTATAATCCCCCAATATCTGAATTATTAGTTTAATGTAGCCACATGTGTCTGCTGATCTCCATTACGCCTAAGTATTTATTGCTTTTAAGATCAGCTCCTTGAGATGTAAGGAGTTAAAGTTACAACTGCTTGACACTGAAA